ACCGCCTTGCCATCCAATCTGCATGAGTGTCCGAACGTTGAAACACGCCAGACGGAACGAGGATCGGGGACGAATGAGAGCCATAGGTTGAACTCCTTGGTCCGCGGTGCAACCGCGATCGCAGCCAAATTGTTGAACACATGAATCGGGTAACGGAAAGTGAGGATTGTTAGCAAACAAACAATTGGCGTGTGATGTAGTCGCGTGAATGTGAGTAGCAGAAACAGTAGCTGATGAGCACGTTGTAGTACAGTCCATGGTTTTATGAGAGGGCATGATACTACCCCGTTGTCCAAGCTGAAGTAAGGAGTTGACTTAAGGGACTCCACTCCCAGCCTTTGGCTAAATAACCTACCCGCAAGGCAGCGGGGCGAAGTTAGGGAGGCGCTGACTGAAGGTTGAGTTCATGCGTCTTTGTTTGGCAGATCATCAAACAGGGGCCAAATACTCCCCATGAAATCAGCACAATTTCTGTAATACAATGACCCAGCGAGGTGAAACACTGTCGCGAACACTTCGCTGGAACGGGGTGCACCCGAACCACGCAGCTGGCACCAAGAGGAGGTAGTTCTGCAAGCCAGCCCTGAGACATGACGTATATCAGCAGTGAATTGCGTGATAAAGTCTAAGTGTCTGGTTTCCCGTGGTGAATGTTTGTCAGATGAGGAGTTGAATGAAAAAATAAGGCTTGTGATTAGTGCAGACCGTGAGAGCCTGGTCATCTAATGTGTGTCGGAAGTGAAGAATAGGTAAGTAGATGGCAAGCAGTTCTCTACCAAACGTGCTGTTGCGAGATTCCGCTGGTTGCAGGCGTTTGGAGAATAAACCGAGTGGTTGTCACTGCTCACCAATGTGTTGTTGGAGAACAGCTCCTACCACAACGTCTGAAGCGTCAGTAGTCAGAGAAAGGGGAGCAGATGGTTCCGAGTGAGGGAGCAGGGCTATGTTGGAGATAGCATTCTTGACCTCAGTGAAATCCGTGTGTGCTGTGTCGGAGAAAGCAAACTTACGTTTGTTTCCTCTGAGGGGGTCAGTCAGAGGCTACATGAGTTGAGCGCAGCGAGGGATAAAGCGTCGGTAGTAGTTGACTAGGCTAAAAAATCGACGTAGCCGTTTAAATTATGTCAGGGCTGGGAAGTCATTGATGGATTGGACTTTGTCCGCAAGGACCTAGATGCCAGATGATGAAACGAGATGGCCTAGGAATTCTACCGCGGACCTGCCAAGTTCGTATTTGGTTGGATTTACGGTGATGCTGTGTTGGGTCAACCTCTGGGAGAGGGAATGACGATGAGCTAAATGTTCTTTGTCGGACGGACTGGCCACTGGAATGCCATCGACGTAGGGATAGGCGAAGTCTAGGACACAGGTGACATTGTGGATGAAGCGCTGGAATGTTTGTGCCGCATTCCACAATCCGAAAGGCATGCTGAAAAATTCGAACAAGCCGAAATGGGTAATGACGGCTATTTTAAATATCTTGTTCCTCGACAGGTATTTGGTAATAGGCTCAAACAAGACCGATCTTACCTGTGAGGCATGCACTGAGGTCCTGCATATGTTGAATGGGGCATCTGTTGGGGACCGTAAGTTTGTTTAGGTCCCGGCAGTCACCACAAGAGTGCCAGTGTCCAGATCTCTATGGGACTATCTGGAGTGGAGAGGACCAAGGGCAATCCGAAGGGTGGATTATTCCAAGTTCAAGCATGTGCTCAAACTCCGCCCTAGGTAGCTTCAGTTTCCCCTGCGGTCGGCGCGAGCGTGACGAGACGGGTACGCCGTTAGTACGGATATGGTGAGTGACCTGAGATGCCAAGAGGAGAGCTTCATACGTTGGCTGAACGAGCTTGGGATACTGAGAGATTAGTTGGAGATACCCGGAGGAAGTCTGTGGGCAAACTAGGATGATAGCTGCAATGCCGGCGTTGGTGCCAGCGACATTAAGCGTAGTTGAGGGGTCGATTACCTGTTGTTTCGCATCGACCAAAGGGTCGAAATGTCTGAGGAAGTCCATGCCAATGATGGTAAACGGGAGGGCGACGATGATGAACACATAGCGAGAAGATCAATTCAAAAGTTACTTGCTAATCAATCACAAATCGACGACTAAGTCAGCGGATTATATTTGACCCAGCAGCGCACTGAGGAAGTCACCTCGTATGGTGATGAAACGATTGCATACCAAATGCGAAGCTCGGCGAACAGTTGAACCCAGGAAAGATCAACCAGGGCTACTAGTACACCCAGCGAAAGGTTCTACAGAGACCCAAATTCAGGGTTCAAGAGCGCTGGCCGTAAGTAACGAATGGTGTACCGTTGGCGGAACGAAGACCGAGAGTAGTGTGCTGAGTCGCATCTCCAGGTGCATGAGGAAACAAGCAAACTTCAGCCCGGTATCGACCAGGAACATTCATCAATATACAGGTTAGTTAGAGATGCGAAGCACCTCAGCTGTACCGCAATACATAAAAAGGGGAAAATGTAACAGACACAAGCCAGTTAAGCTACCGGTAACGGATGCGCATCGTTCCGGTAAGCTACCAGCCTGTTACTATGCAGCAAGTCATACACGTTAACTGCAGGTGGAAAACACCTCAGCTATTGTGCCGCAAAACTAAAGACAAGAAAAAATACAACAGAGGCATGCCGGCTGAGTCCCCAGTAACGGATGGACATCAATCCGGAGAGCTAACAGCTGCATAGCGTGCTGTAAATAGAAAGTTATGTTATGCCTAGCGAACGAGGTCGTGGCTGGAGGGGAGCCTAAGCAGGAGGGGGATGGACAAAGGAACGCACAACACAAACGTCACCGGGGCCGACTCCTAGCCATATCAGCAAGTGTCCAACAGCAAGTGCCCAACATGTTCATCGCCTTCAGCACCCCAGCTAGGCAGTCGGGATGAACCAACCGACGCCAACTTCGAAGTGAGGCTTTACATCTCTCTCGAACAAGTCATCGCTAGGCCTCTTCTCCTCATCTTCCAACCGCACCCACAACGCGCAAACAATGCACGTCGCGGGAGTTGGTGGGCTGGCATGCGTAACATTTGGCTGAGCCATCGGAGCCTGGTGCGTTAAATAACGGTGATGAGCGGTTTGTTTCCTTTTTCTTTGCCGTAAACAAGGCATCGAACACGCTCGTCGTTTACTCGGTGTTCCCACCGCATGTGAGCCAAATTGCGAAGGCACCGGTGGTCGAACGTAACTAGCCTCTTTACGTCCGTTGATCTAAGGGGCCAGGTTTCACAACCGTACAGTAGGGTCGGACGTACCGCTGCATTGTACACTCTACCCTTCAGGGCAAGAGTGATGTCGCGCCGCCGCCATAAGTGGCGAAGGTTTGCAAAAGCACTTCGAGCTTTTGCTATACAGTTCGTGATCTCATCTTCCATCCCAAGGGTGCTGATGCAACTTCCCAGGTAGTTAAATTTCCGAACGACTTCTAGCTGATCCCCACCAAGGGTCAGCGTAGAAGGCCGTCCAGGCCAATCTTGGAGGGACGCTTTGCACTTCGAGGGTGCGAAGCAAAGCCCGAAGTGATGGATAGCCAATGCTAATCTGTCCAGTGCCGCTTGGCACGTTTGTGAACTGTCCCCGATTAGGGCAATATCGCCAGCATACTCCAAGTCAAGAATTCGTTCTCCTGGGATCCACAGATCCACACCTTCTAAGTCGTGTCCTGTGAACGCGATTTCCAGTACTTCGTCAATAGCGAAGTTGAAGAAGAAAGGTGACAGCGGGCAATCTTGTCTCACACCGCTGGAGATATTAAATGAGGACGACCACTTGCCCTAAACGCTCACTCTGCTTGAGCTACACGCGTATAATTCTCGGATAATATTTAAATATTTCTCAGGTACACCATTCCTGAGTAGACAGTCCCAAAATGCACGTCTATTCACCGAATCGAATGCACCTTTGATTTCGAGGAACACGACAACGGTGGGTCGTCAATATATGTGACGGTGCTGCAACAACTGATGCAAAATGAAGATGTGGTCAATGCAGCAACGACCTCGACGAAATACGGAACGCGGTTTCAGATTTGCAGTCTTTAACATAAAGGAGGCGACTGCCGTCGAGAGGACCTTTGACGCTAGTCCTCTTTACGTTGTGGCCCGAGGGTTACCTTACTGAGTCGCACTGAAGGTGCGAAATGTGGTACAACGCTTGGCTTGTGCACCAAATCGGCGGTGGCACAAGCAGTACCGATTAGCACCTGCAGTCGTTACGGTTGAGTGATTTGCTACATGAGCGGCGTCCGTTATACTTTGACCTGTTGTTAAAATCACGGCACGAAGCAGATAGTTCCGCTAGAATAGTGTGAAGTATGGGCAGACTGGGTGAGACGTGAACAACAAGGAACAGGAAAGTTATTATGAGTGCAAGGTAACTGCGGCAAAGGGGAATTGACAAAATTGAACTGAGGACGAAAACGACCAACTATTTCATCAGCTATTTGAGAGGCGTCACCTGGCGACTGAAGTTAAATCGCGGTAAGAATACCTTAGGATGTCTCTGGTGAACGCTGTAGCCAGAGTTCGCGCAATAGTGACTCGTCCGTGGACGATGTACCGAGCATTTGGGGCATCTCGCTCAGTAGCGTTGAGGGTTTCTTGTCACAAAATTGTAGACCTTGGAATAGCTGCTGAATACGCGTCCGCACGGATGGTGTGCTTCTGCTAATGACAGCCTGTTTAAGTATGTCGTAACGTTGCTCGGAAACAAACTGCATTAAAAGGTCCCTGATTTGCAGGGTTACGTTGCTGGGCAGGCAAGCTAGTAGGTGGCTACACTATGTCAAATCAGCGGTGATCATATGGCGGGTGAACTCAGACTAATACAAACCATAACTGAGGATCGCTGCTAACAAACAGTTGGACAGGAGAAACGACAGCATTGAAAACAGGACCAGCAAGAGTAACGTCCTGATCAGACGTGATAATGGGATGCTAAACGAAAAAAAATGGAAAACCAGACAAAACAAGGTTTGGTCTCACCAGGTTGCGGGATACAAGGTGTCTGCGATGGAGTTCGCACCAATTGTAGAGCCGAAATCAGTTACTGGTAGCGACAATTACCAGTAAGACCAACCACAGATATCGAGTATACAGAAGCAAAATGTTGCCGAACTCAACGTGTAATGTACGAGCTACAAGGAACCGAAAGTCAAGTTCAAGTTCAGTTGGGACCGGAACGATAGGATAATCCCGTCAATGTTTCTTCTTTTGCGTATCGTTGGACCGGGAGTTGATAGGTCTGCTTGAGATGTTGAAAAGCCTAAAACAAAGACCATATTACACCCTGGCCAACCAATTATTGTCCACATTTTCCTTCCCAGCAGTCCCTGCCAGGCCGGTTTATGTGAAGTAAAAGAGTGAAGGGTAAGCTAAGAAAACAAGAGGAATTTCAGCTAAATAAGGAGAATACCAAGGTGTAAGAAGAAATTTAAAAAAAAAACGAACGAAAAGTTGAAGATACAAGTCGGTTAGGAGAAGCGGAAGATTTGGTACTGCCACCCAAGAGCATCCAACTGATGCTCGAAACCCTCAAGCGTAGACTCCGGAAACTAGTTCCAACATTCAATAACCCGGCGCGACAAGCGAGTTTCCTTCCTTACCCGGTCTGAACGAAGTTTGGGCAGCTTTAAAGGGTGACCTCGGAGACTAGGCAGCTTGGCGGGACTAAATAGCCAGGACAAGTCTGGACCGATCTTACCCGTTAGGATAAGGTAAGTGAGGATCAAGTCTCCTCTAATTCTGCGGTAGTGCATTGAGTACATACCCAAGCTAAGCAAACGTTCGAGATACGTTTGCCCCCGTAGTTCCTGCACTAACCTTGCACCTACTTGCAAAACCCTCTAGTTTTATTTTGTCCTTTACAAGACAAGGTGGACAAGCCTAAATACAGTATTCTAGGTGGAGTCGCACAAAAACTGAGAACGGCTTCACAACGATATCGGCCATCAGGACATCGAAGGAGCGGCGAATAAACCACATCATACGGAACCCTCTACATGCAGCCTTCCTTCAATAGTCTCCAGAATGAAGCAATGAGGTATGGGTGATACCTACATCAACCTGCTGAGTGACAACAGGGATTTTACTTCCACCAACTACATAGCACGTGGGGGGACTAGCACCTCCAATGCGGAGGACAAAACATTTTGTCTGATTTATATGCATCAACCATAAGGTTGACCAATCCCAGAGCCTATCCAAAGCACTCTGAAGTGCCTAAGAGCTCCCAGGGATATCCACAATATTCCAGAGCTTGACGTCATCAGCAAACAATGGCGACGGTACTTTTAGCTCCTAGGATAGGTCATTGACATAAATTGCGAAAAGCAACGGCCCTAGAACCGAGTCCAGCGGAACGCCACTAAGAACCGCTTGTCTAAGCGAAAGGCTAAGCCCCACGCCTACACACTGTTCTCTCCCCTCTAGAAAAGCAGAAACCCATTTAACGGCGGCTCCAGATATCCCACACGATCTCAACTTCAATGAGAATCGTTGATGTGGGACAGTATCAAAGGCTTTCGAGAAGTCAAGGAAAAGCACGTCGATGGCGTGACCGTTGTCTACTGCCTCAGCCCAGTTTTCAGGAGCTACAAGCAAAGTTGTCAGACATGAAAATCACTTACGGAATCCATGCTGGGCCGCACTTAGAAGGTTAAACTTAATTAGGTGATTCTCCACCGAATCTCCGACCAATTTTTCAAACAACTTAACTACTACACTTGTTAAGCTTACGGGCCGGTAGTTCGCGGGCAGAGCTCTATTACCGCCCTTAAAAATTGGCAGACGGTTGCTTTCTTCCATTCCGAAGGTAAGGCACAGCTGTCGAGTGATATTGCAAACATGCATGTCAGAGGGCCACTTAGCTCAGTGGCCAATTCATGCATCAGCTTCATCATTACACGTTAGCTGGAGGCGGAAAACACCTCAGCTATTGTGCCGCAATACAAAAGAAAAGAAAAGGAAAAACAAACGGTGGCACGCCCGATGAGTCCCCAGTAACGGATGGACATCAATCCGGAGAGCTAACAGCTGGCTGCCGTAAAAGATAATCGTATTATGCCTAACAAGTGAGATCGTGATTGGAGGGGATACTAAACAGGAGGGGGATGGACAAAGGAAATCACAACACAAACGCCATTGGAGCCGGCTCCGAGCCATGTCAGCAAGTGTGTCCAACCAAACGTGTTCACCGTCCTTAGGACCCCAGCCAGGCAGTCGGGATGCACCAACCGACGCCAACTTCGAAGTGAGGGTTGCTATCTCTCTCGAACAAGTCATCGCTTGGCCTCCCCTCCTCCTCTTCCAACCGCACCCACAACGCGCAAACAATGCACGTCGCGGTATTCAGTGTGCTGGCATGCGCAACACGTGGCCCAGCCATCGGAGCCTGGTGCATGATATAATGGTGCTGAGCGGTTCACTCGCTCTTCCTGCACCAAATACGCGACGTCGAACACGCTCATTGCTCACGCGGTGTTCCCACCAGACATGAGCTAAGCTGCGAAGGCAGCGATGATCGAATATGATGAGCCTCTTCATGTCTGTCGACCTGATGGGCCAGGTTTCACAACCATATAGGAGAGTTGAACGGACGGCTGCGTTGTAAACTCTGCCCTTGAGGGCGAGAGTAATGTCGCGTCCGCGCCACAGGTGGCGGAGATTGGCAAAAGCACCTCGAGCTTTTGCTATGCGGTTCGTAACCTCATCATCAATCCCACGGGTGCTAATATAGCTGCCCAGGTACTTGAATTCCTGAACGACTTCTAGCAGATCACCACCAAGCGTTAGCGCAGGGTTGGGTCCCTGCCAATCTTGGAGAAGTACTTCGCATTTCGATGGAGCAAAGCATAGCCCAAAACGATTGACAGCCAGTAAAAACATCGGTCCAATGCTGCTTGGCATGTTTGGGAGCTGTCACAGATTAGGGGAATATCGTCCGCATACTCCAAGTCAAGAAGTCGCTTACCAGGAAGTAGCTTCACACCTTCTAGGTCGTGTCCAGCTGTTTCCATGATTTCATCAATAGCGAAGTTGAAGAGGAAAGGTGACAGCGGGCATCCTTGTCTCACACCGCTGGTGATACTGTACGGTGGCGAGAGTTTGCCATAAACCCTCACCCTGCTCGAACTATGCGCGTACAGCGCTTCGATAATATGTACATATTTATCAGGCACAGCTTTCCTCAGCAGACAGTCCCAAAGGGCACATCTATCGACTGAGTCGAAGGCACATTTTATGTCAAGAAACACGACAACGGTGGGTCGCCAATAAACATGGCGGTGCTCCAACACTTGACGCAATGTGAAGATGTTGTCGATGTAGCCGCGACCTCGACGAAATCCGGCTTGCTCTTCACGAATCTGACTTCCACAAGTACCAGTCAGTCTGTGGAGAATGACAGAGACAAGCAATTTAGAGGCAATCGAAATCAGACTGATCCCTCTATGATTGCCGCATTCTAAACGGGAGCTTCTCTTGAAAATTGGGACAATGACGGAGCGGTTCCAGTCTGTCGGGACTGTCTCCCGCTCCCAAAGTTTTACTAGCAACCCGTGTAGATCATCTACTAGAGCAGGTCCCCCGAATTTGAAGAGGGCTGGAGGAATTCTATCTGCCCCTGCGGCCTTATGCAATTTCTACGGCCTGATCTCACGTTCGACCTCTGCGCGCGAGGGCGGATCCGAGAAGACGGCCCAGGGAGTAGGGCGCTCAATGCCCGAAAAAGAAAACGATAACTCAGGTTGGTTAAATTGTCTTGCAGTGTTCAGCCCAACGCTCCAAGCGTTTTGACAGGCTGTGGATCGGCTGCCCACTCTCGTCGCGTATGGTCTCGCTAACACCAGGTCTCCTGCTGCCTGTTTCCCGTATCAGACGGAATAACTTACGATGATTACCAACGGCAGCGGCTGTTTCCATCTCAGAGGCACGATGAGACCACCAGGTTTCGTGGTCCTTCTTTAGGCTAGCACGTAGTTTTGCCCTGAGATTTTTGCGAGCCTCATTGTATTCGCTTCCAGCTGGAATACGTCGGCGAGCACCCATAAGTACCAGAGACTGTGTAGAGACCCAATGTCCAGTTTGGCAATTTGCTTTGCCACATGAAGACATGCCTGCTAACAGCAACGTTTGACGAATATGCGACCAGTGATCTTCAACGGTGTTTAGTGGGCGCTTACTCAGCCCAGATGTCAGCGCATCTTGGTACACATTCAGAACATCTGGCTTCGCCAGCTGGCTAGTGTCAATCCGTTCACATCGACGTCGCGGACGTCCACCGAAACGCACCAGGAGGTCGGTACAGACAAGTGCGTGGTCAGAGTCCACGCTCGTGCTCCAAATCGAGCGACAGTTTTGGACACAGCCTCTCCAGCGGTAACTGATCGCGATAGGATCGATTTGCGTCCATGACTGGCCCGAGGCTGGTGGCCGCCAAGTCACACTTCTGCGGGTGCTGTGTCGAAAATTAGTGTCGCGAGAAAGAGGCGAGCATCTTCACACAGCTGGAGCAATCGCTCACCATTATCATTACGGGAGCCTACACCGTTGGCCGCCCAGATGAAGCTCATCAGAGGACAATTTTCCGACTTGGGCGTTTAGATCGACAGCCAGCACCACAGTATCCGTGCTTCTTCTGTAACGAAGGAGCTCGTGAAGTTGCTGATAGAAATCATCTTTTACCGAATCAGTGCTACAGTTTGTAGGAGCGTAGGCCGCAATGACAAACAGGCAACGTTTGTCCCCGCGCGACTTCGTAGCAGGGAACGAACCAGCTAATGTAACGGCGCACATCCTACTGTTTACTGGGATCCAATCAATCAGGGCAGCTTCAGCCCGGAGACTCAAAACAATGCCGACGCCGGCTTGACCGGCATTTGAAGCTGCATCATCGCCAGACAGGCGCAATGAGAATGTGCCGCCAGTGTCGCATGTGGGGGATCTCAGGGTAAGCACGGAGCTCGAATCTTGCAGGCGGGTTTCTGATAAACAGCAAATATCGATCGATAGGGTCTCTAGTGTGCGGGCAAGTGCTGCCTGTTGGCCAATCTGCAGCAAAGTGCGCACGTTGAGGCATGCCAGTCTTAGCGAGACGCGAGGACACCAAAGGGAAACGGATGAACTGACGTTGTCCGCTTGGTTGAACATGGACTTGTCAACTGGATTGGAGCGAGGCCCTGCGATTTTGTGATTTGAAATCAGAAGACAAGCGACTATTGAAGTAAGCTGGGGGAGGGCCAAGAATTGGGGGTTGAAAATGGGGGATATAAGTAAAGTTGGAGCGGGACGATAAGGATGAAGAAGCGCAAGAAGGGGTATAAGAAGACGGGAAGGCCTGAGCAGTAGCATCCATACCCCTATCCACCCTGCTCGATGCAGCAGATAGGGCGCCGTTTATTATTCTCTGCGACGGCCAGAGCACCAAGAAATTGTTGTAGGAGAGGTTCATTGTATTGCGTGGGCAGAATACTGTCAGGTTGCCCCGGCCTAGACAGGAGAACGATTAGGGTTCTCAACCAAAGGCTTTGGTTCAAAAACCTTATCGCAAGGCAGCGGGTTTTGGCATTGGATGACAGAGAGCCCGTTTTATGAAATAAGGAGCCACCCTTATTCCAACCCCCAATCTGGAGGACCAGGAGGCTGAGTTTGTCTGGCCTCTAACCATTGACCAATCTGGTATGAGTGACTCTGAAGGTGCAAAAAAAGCACCACCCAGCATAGCTCAATGGATCGCTGAGGCACACAAACCATCGCACCACGGTAAGGTCCAGCCTCATTGCGATGGATGCATCAGCTTCGGATGAATTGAATCAGGGCCAGAAGCTTTGGAAGGATTTAGCCCTTGCAATAGCCCGAAGACTTGTCTCCGTTATGCTGATTTCAGTTAAGCAAGAATCCTACGGAACTTTTGTGACCAGCTCAACCTGAGGTAGAGAGGCCTCATGAGAAAACACACCAGTATACTGTTCGCTAAGTATACAGGCATTATCATAGTAGGTATGCCCATGGGTCCCGTCCGCACGTAGTAAAGCCGGTATAGACGAGTTTGTACCACTACGTCTCTTTACGTAAGCAAAGAACTTTGGATTTGTTACGACTGCGTTAGCCATATCCTCCTCGTACTGAAGACGAAGAATTATAAGATGATGCTTACATTTATTTCTGACCGCTCGATACCTTTCGTAGTTGCTGGTTGATGAAGCCGCTTGGTAAGTTCGCCAGCACTTAGAGCACTTCCTGAGCAGGTATTTACCTGTATGATCTACCCATGGAGGCTGCGCCCGTGTTACCCTTCTCTTAGTGGGATGTGGGGAGCATAGATCTCGGTGAGGTATGCTTTAAATTTCTCCCAGGCTGTCTCAACGGTGTCAGCCACGGTGATCGCACAACGCAAAACTGAAGCTTTGTCTCGCATTGCGTTAAAGTCTGCCCGCCAAATACTTGGACATACCTCTGCAGTAGCTTGATGACACTTAGTTAGAGACATCGAAAGGATATGCAGACATGGTCACTGGCTCCTAGAGGACAGTCGTAGGTAATATCACTTACGAAAACGTGTGATTCCGCAAAAATAAGATCCAAGGTAGACGGAATTTGGTTGCGCATATATCTAGTCGGGAGGTCCACGAACTGATGCAAAGGCAGCTGCAATGTTAGCTCAAGGAGATCCGAAGCGAAAGTGCCCACCGCCGAACTGCAAGATAGATCAGCCCAGCAGACTTCAGGGAGGTTGAAGTCACCCAGTAGTAGACACCTATTGGCAGCCTGAGTACGAATAAATTCAATAACCTCCCTAAAGATACTTCCAGGACTTCGATATACCACTACAACTGTAAACTGAGCAGAGGAAGTACACACAATAGTCGACAGGGCTTCAACAGTTTGATGCGGCAACTGGAACACACAGGTCCTCAACACAGAGTTTACAACTCACATAAAGAGCGACGCCCCCACCTTGGCCGCCAAAGGAGTGATCACATCTAAGCAATGCGTAGCCAGGAAAACATACTTCACCGTCTGTGATATCCGGGGACAGCCACGTTTCGGTGATAGCAAGTATGTCGGGACGAGATTTATCTACAAGTAGACCCACCTCGTGTACCTTGTTTCTTAGGCTACGCACTACCCGAAGGAACTCGGCACGACCAGCCCTGAGTCGTACGCTACCAGGAGAGGTTCTGGTAGAGCAGAATTTGACTTCCGGCTGACCACCTGAAAACCCACAAGACGAAGGCCTTGCTCACCAGCCGCCCGCCTGCTCTTGAGGCTTTTGATGGATTCCTTTAACTTCAGTCGATATGCCACTGGGAGGTCCGGCTGAACGCTGACATTACTACCCTTGGGTTTGAATGCAAAGCGCATTAACGCTTTGCGTTCCTCCGGGTTGGAGAGGACTACACGAAGTAGTCGGGGTCGCGGATTTGGCGTGTCTACAGGGACGTTCCCCAATCTGGTTAGTTTCCTGATAGTGACACCGGGGAAACCAGGTGGAAGCATCTTGTTGACGCAGAGCTCGAACCATTGGAGGTCATCCAGCATGCGTTCCTTTGGAAGAGCTGCCATGGATTCAGCAACGTTAAGAAAGTTAACGATATTATCAGTAAATGAATCACCTCGACGAGGCGTATTCACTCCACGCGTCTTCGACGCGACCTCAGTTTCGACCAGTTTGGCAGATGACACGGCGCGTTTCTTCGCCAAGTGAGCTGGAGTAATTGAGGTTGAGGCTTTATTCTCTGCCTCCAACTCCCTCACCGGTCTAGTCTTTTCAGACTTTGCGGGTGTGGCCGAAGTCGACACGGCGCGTTGCTTCGCCAATGGAACTGGGGTAACTGGAGTTGGAGCTTTGTGTTCCACCTCCAATACCTTAATGCTTTCAGTACCTTCAGACTTTGAGGCAGCCTTACGGACTTCCTTAGCCCTCTTCCTCTTGCTTTTATTGGGCCCAGGGGCCATAAGTTCGGTCTCGCTTTGGACAGCTTCCAGTACGACGTCAGAGGCCCCTTTAGAGGCATTCTGGACCGCTGGGACACATGACACGGTAGCCATCATCTCAGTCGGATTTTCATCGACAGCAATTGAGGTTAGTTGCATGTCTTCCTCCAATGAGCCGACATCAATAGAGACCCCCATTTCCCTCATCAGTAACTCCACTTTCCGATCAAGAGATATGAGGAAGGACCACAACTGTTGGTTACTCAGCCCCACGTTGCTTGATGTCTTCTCAGTGACCTCAAGATGCGTAGGTCGACGGCGACGACATAGAAGACAATTGAACAGCATGCTATCGCTCGTCGAAAGCACTGCGTACTGAGAAAGGCTCAACTCGGTACAGGTCTCATGGTACCAGCTGTTGCATACATAGTACTGCATGCCACCGGAATCGTCCATCACGAGCTTTGAGCAACTCACACTGCCGCATACAGCATTAGATTCGCTGATCAACGCAGCCGAAGACACCTTAGCGCCGGTACACAGTGAATCCGACACGACGCTTTCGAAGAGTGTGAAACAAGTATCAAAACGTAAAACCGACAAGCTGCTACCTGCAGGACAGTCAACAGAAACAGTTATGGGTTAACCAAGGTGCAAAACGGATTACAAAACACAAAAATACCGGAATAATAGCCAGAGGATGAACCCGAAAAAGATGGACGACGTTGGTAAGTACCCGAAAACGGGTACGACGTAATCCGGGGAAAAACGATAACCCAAAATTCTTTGGATAAAGCGAAATTTGACAAAAGTCAAATTTTTTGCACGACAATTGTAAATACTGTCCCGGAACTGTCCTTTGAATGTAAAACCTCAAAAAGACAGCACACCAACAAATCGAGTCACCGCGTAGCACTCACAGAGGCACAGAGCACACACAGTTTCTTGATCATGTTGACCGCTAATGAGTCTTTTGGTTACAGATACGATAACTGCAGTTCAGTTCAGTTCAGATGGGGACTGGAACGATAGGAAAATCCCGTGAGTGTTCCATCTTGAGTGGATCGTTGAGCCAGGAATTGATGAAGTGCTCAGTTATTGATGGATCTAAAACGGAAACACCCGTATCGCACCCTGGCCAACCATTTAATGCCCACGTTTCCTGCCCTAGCAGTCCCTGCTGTGGCAGTCACGTGAAGTAAGCAAAGGATAGGAAGATAAATCGAAGGTACAGAATAGGGAAGTGCACTTAAATAAGAAAATAATACCAATACGTGAAGAAAAGTAGAGAAAAGAAAATCGAAGTACGAAGATGCGAGTTACTCAGGAAAATGGAAAGGTTTCGTGTTGCCACCCAAGAGCGTCAAGTTGCCGCTCAAACCCCTTAACCGTAGATTCCCTGATAACACTTTCCGGAAGCATGTTCCAGCGGTCGATAACTCGGCGTGACAGCCGGATTTCCGCCCTAATCCGATCGGACCGCGGTTTGTCCAGCTTCAACGAATGACCGCGTAGAACAGACAATCTAGCGGGACTGAATAGCCAAGACAAATCTGGACCAACCTTCCCAGTCAAGATACGGTAGGTTAGGATTAGGTCTCCTCTAAGCCTTCGGTAGTGCATTGAATGCATTCCCAAACTAAGTAGACGCTCGGGGTACGTCCGTCCCCGTAATCCCTCGACTAACCTAGTACCCACTCGTAAAACCCTCTCTAGCTCCATTTTGTCCCGGACGAGGCAGGGCGGACAAGCCTGGACGCAGTATTCCAGATGAGGGCGAACGAAAGCCGAGAACAGCCTCGTAAAGATGCCGCCCGTCAAGACTCCGAAAGAACGTCGGATTAACCACAACATGCGGAAACCTCTGCTTGCGGCCTTCTTCCAGTTGTCGCCGGAGTGTAACGCCGAAGAGTGTACGACGCCTAGGTCAAGCTGGCTAGATACACGGGGGAGTTCGACCCCACCGACCAAGTACTTCGCAGGAGGACAACCTCCTCCAATTCGAAGAACGGAGCACTTTGCCTGATTTATGGGCAGTAACCATAAAGTAGACCAGTCCCAAAGCTTATCCAATGCTCGCTGAATAGCTTCGGAACCCCCAGGAACATCAACAATGTTCCACAGCTTCAGGTCATCAGCAAATAGCAGCGATGGTACCTCAAGCTCCGTGGGTAGGTCATTCACATAGATAGAGAACAACAGCGGTCCAAGGACCGAGCCCTGCGGCACGCCGCTGAGGACAGACTGCCTAAATGACAGACCCCGGCCTACCCGTACACATTGTTCTCTACCCTCCAAGAAGGCAGTCACCCAATGAAGGGCGCGGCCAGATACCCCGTAGGAGGACAGCTTTTGCGCGAGCCTCAAATGGGGTACCTTGTCAAATGCCTTCGAAAAGTCGACGAAAAGCACGTCCAGCGTGTGGCCGTTGTCCACTGCATCCGCCCAATTTTCGCGAGCCACCAACAGATTCGTCAGACACGAAAATCCCTTCCGGAATCCGTGTTGTACATTGCTAAGTAGATTAAATCTACTCAGATGACTCTCCAATGAATCTCTCACCAGTTTCTCGAGGAGTTTGACTACTACACTCGTCAGACTAACTGGCCTGTAATTTGCAGGCAGACCCCTGTCCCCATGTTTAAAGATGGGACAGATGACAGCTTCCTTCCATTCGGAAGGCAATGCACAACTGTCAAGCGATTTCTGAAACACAATAGCGAGCGGTCCACTTAGTTCCGCAGCCAACTCATGCAACAGTTTCGGGTGAATTAAATCAGGCCCAGAGGCCTTAGAAGGGTTCAGCCCTTGTAACAGCCTACGAACTGCAGTCTCCGCTACAATAAATTCAGATAGTTCTGAACCCTCTGGAGTCCTGCAAACCAGCTCAACCCCTGTCAAAGAGGTTTCCCTTACAAACGCTGCCGCATATTGCCCACTGAGTACGCAGGCCTTGTCATAATCCGTATGCGCATGAGTACCGTCATCACGCATCAATACTGGAATTGACATGTTCGAACCGCAGCGCCTTTTGACATAAGCGAAGAATCTTTTTGGATTCTCTGAAGCTTCGTCCGCTAACCCTTTTTCAAAATTGAGCCGCGCATCCCTTAGGTGTTGCTTACACCTATTTCTAGCTTTACGGTACCTGTCATAAGTATCGGTAGACGGAGCGTCTCGGTAAGTCCGCCAACATCTAGATCTCTTTGTGAGCAGATGCCTGCCAGTGGGATCTATCCAGGGCGGCTGTGCTCGGGCCTCCTTTCTCCTTGTGACTGGTATGAAGGGAGCAGAGACCTCTGTGAGGTAGGACTTAAATTTATCCCAGGCAACCTGGACAGTATCGTCGTCTGAGATCTCACAATGGTAGCCAGAAGCCTTGGCTCTCATTGATTGATAGTCTGCTTGCCATATGTTCGGGCGAGACTCAACAGTACTCTGGTAGCGTCTAGACAGAGTACAATTGAAGAGCAAACAAACATGATCACTGGAACCCAGTGGAGGTCCGTAAGTAATGTCATCAACAAAATCGAGTGACTTAGCGAATACAAGGTCTAAGATAGACGGTACTTGGGCGTCCATGTACCTAGTGGGGAGGTCAATGAACTGGTGCAAAGATACTTGGAGCGTAAGTTCAAGCAGATCAGCGCCAAATGTGCCTGACGCTGAGTCGCAAGAAAGATCTGCCCAACAAATCTCTGGGAGGTTGAAGTCGCCCATCACCAAACACTTGTTTGCGGACTGGGAGCGAATGAAGTCAAGTACCTCTTTGGATACGCTCCCAGGGCTTCTATACACAATTACAACTGTAACCTGAGCCGAGGATGTGCTAATAACAGCCGATAGAGCTTCAACAGTTTTGTCTGCTGACTGAAATAAGCAAGTCTTCAAAACGTCAAGTTTACAGCTCACATAAAGAGCGACGCCCCCTCCCTGTCGGCCAGCAGAGCGATCGCATCTAAATAGTGCGTAGCCAGATAGATGTACTTCACCATCCGTGATGTCCTGAGACAGCCACGTTTCAGTGAATGCGAGTATATCGGGATGAGACCCATCTACAAGCAGACCTAACTCGTACACCTTATTCCTTAGGCTGCGCACATTACTTAGCACTATCTGAAGTTTTTCGTTAGATCCAGACCTGGGTCGTGCGCTACCAGTACTGGCACTGGTAGGGCGGAAAAGGACCGCCGGCTGACCACCCGAAAACCCACTAACCGGAGACCTTGTTCACCGGCCGCTCGCCTGCTTTTGAGGTCCTTGATGGCCTCCCTTAGCTTCAGCCTATCGGCTAGCGGAAGGTCCGGCTGAACGCTAATGTTTGTACCTTTCAGCTTAAACGCAAACCGCATGAGAGCATTGCGTTCCTCCGGGGTAGAGAGTACCACACGAAGTAGCCGCGGTCGCGGGTTTGGTACGTTAACTGGGACGTTCCCCAGTCTAATCAGCTTCCTGACAGTAACGCCTGGAAAACCAGGCGGAAGAAGCCTCGTTACGCACATTTTAAACCATTGAAGGTCGTCCAACATGCGATCAGCGGGAAGGACAGCAGTAGATTCAGCCGCGTTACGGAATATAACGCTACTATCCGTGAAAGAATCGCCACGACGGGGTGTATTAACCCCACGCGTCTTTGATTCGGCACTCGGAGCAGGTGGCTTCACTACTGGTGATGGAACTGTCTTTAGCCCCTCCGATGATGTAGCAACGGCAGCGTATGTTTTTCGCTCCATTGTCGATGTCTTACTTCTGTTAGGGTCATCGATTTCACCGGAAGGCTTTATAGCAGATTTTGTCTGCTTTTTCTCCTTGATAACAGGAGTAGGGTCCCGTGGGGCTTTTTCGCTTTGAGCAGAATCAAGCACACCTTCAGAATATGTCTTCTCGGTGAGAACCAAGATTTCCGGCAACTTCGGCTGATAAGTAGTGCGTGTTGTGATCTTCGCCTTCGCACAACCGTCAGACGGTTTGCCAAGTAACGACACTTGGCCTGTTACCGGTGCCGAGACAACTTCTTGTTTAGCAGAGAGCTTACGAGGATTTCCTGGCTCTTCTTCGCTTAACTCGAAGTGACCCTTGAACCAGCAATTCGGCATCGATCAGCGTAGGTATAGATACGACGTCCGAAGCTGCTTCATTTTTGTGGTCGGTAGCCATCTGGACCGGTGACATAATGATAGGCCTGATTTTCCGTGGTGCTGAAGGCAGGTATTATGAAATTGGCCGAGTCTGTTTGGGACACTCGCCAGTGTTCCGGTTGGGAAACCTTAGCCTTATCATACCAGCATAGGATCGAAGAGAGCAGAAGGATAAATCCTTTATCAGCTCCATCGCTTCCCGATCATCGTGTGGAGGCCGCGACTCTGTGTTAAGCGGTAAATTACAAGGGACTGTGACAGCTACAGTGGAAGCTGCAGGGGCCCATTGTACCCAAGTTCAAGTTCAAGGGGGACTGGAACGATAGGATTATCCCGTGAGTGTTCCTTCTTCGGCGGGTCGTTGAACCAGGAGTTAGCGAACTTTGAAATACTGATGGACCTAAAACAAAGACCGCACCACACCCTGTCCAACCAATTAATGCCCACGTATCCCGCCCTAGCAGTCCCTGCTGGGTCGGTTACGTGAAGTAAGAAAGAGAAAAAGTAAACGCAGAAGGCAAAAGAGAAAGTGGTAAGAGCTAAGCAAGTGGAATACCAAGATATTTGAGTCGTTAAAAAAGAACTGAAAAGTGAAGGTGAGTCGGCTAGGAAAAAGATAAGAATCTAACGTTCGTTTGAAACATACCTCAGTTTGTCCATGGACCACATGCTTCGGTAATTCGTTCCAGTCGTTGTCTACGCGAGTTGTTGGAGCGAGAGCAGGATGAACCCAGGGTTTACTAGGTTTAAACAGTTTCCAGTTGTGGCCTCAAGTTGAACGGTTTACATTGCATTGAAAGCAGGCCTGCAGCTCC